CTGACTCTGTAAACCACTTAGAGAGGGCTGAAAGCCCTATGAAGCGGTATATAAGTCTAACTGCAATTGCTATATGAATTTTGATAATAAATAAATAAAATAAACATTGGTAGCTCAGGGTTGAACTGAGGGGTTCTTGGTGCTCTCTGAGCTTGCAGGCGTTTCGTGACCAATCTAGGTAACATCATCAGTGCTGCCGATAGGAAAGTGTTTTGTGTGTCTGAAGAAGTAGACCGGGCTTTGTCCAATTTGGTGCCCTTAACGACTTAAGTTGCAGTTCAGCTCCAAAAGTTCAGGTGTTTGTCCTTGATTCCAGCTCACCTTGCTCATCGTTCAAGTGAGCATCTTATATTATGGAGGCCACCTGGTGATCACTGAGCAAATGACAAGCGGCAACTTGATATCCTTCATCATTTATGAATTCGTCTTGGGAGACTGCATGGAGGTAAGTGACGCTTTTTTTAAACCATCTCTCCATTCTTGTCTGAAAGGAATCCGCGTCTCTGAACTCAACTCGGCTTCTTTGAATATTTTATCGTATGTATCAGCTGGGCTTTTGTCAATATGAAGACTGAAATATTTTTACAGAATTTTTCAACTAAATCTGTCCCTAAAGTACTTCATAACTCTCCGGCTAAAATCAGAGGTATCTGGTGGCATTTTAATTATGGATTTCCCCCATTTTGTGGAATCTGTTGCAGATTCTCAGCTGCAGATCCGGCAATTTACAATTTAGAACTCTGGTAGAAATATAAAACTTATCCAAAGCTATATTTTCTCCGACATATTTTTTTTTTCAAATGCAGAACAGGTAGCTCTTCTTATAACCCCCCGTTGCACAGTAAGATTTCTCGTCAAATGACAACACCTTCTTGTAATTTTCTTTCTTTCTCTCTTTTAGTCCATTGGTTCGGTTTACAGTGGCCTCATGCAGGGTGTAGGAGCTGCTGAAAAGGTATTTGAGTTCATAGACCGCCAGCCCACGATGTTGAACGATGGGACGTTGGCTCCTAGCCAACTGGAAGGGAAAGTGGAATTCAAGAATGTCACTTTTGCTTACCGCACACGCCCTTCATCCCAAGTCTTACAGGTAAGTGTCTCCTACCTGTAAATTTTTGGTCCGCGCTCAAGGCTTCTCATTCTGCCTTGTGGGTTTTAGCAGTAGGAAGACAGGGTAACAAAATACTTTGTATGTTACTTTTTATTTTTGGTTCAAAAGTTTTATTTCTTTTAAAACAAACATTTCATCATTCCTCAATCAGTAAGACATCGAAGTACAATTTTTTTTGTGTCAAAATAGTTCTAGTTTACCACCAAATTCTTGTTTAACCTAATGTATATCCCTCCCTCCCTCCTCCTTCCCCCCCAACCCCCCTCCTCCTT